ATAGATATAAAGGGGAGAAAAACAAAATTTGCAATGTGACTACTTTTTAAACCTAATTTAATTAAATAAGTTAATAAAAACATAATCAAAGGCTTTCCAAACGCTCTATCCTTAGATCTGTCAAAACTCCTTAGCTCAAAACGAAACAGTACAAGATTCATAATTCCAAAGTCAACTTTTTATTTACATTTTTTTAAACTTTTAAATTAAATTTATTAACTAAAACTGGTCTTATTAGACCAAACATTAATTTTACAATAACATTATAGAATAAATAAATGTTTACATTCTTATAAACCCATTGGTACAATAAGATTTACATTTCACTATACCTATTCACTTTTAATTACACAAGTTCATATGGCGGTTGTTCTTTTTAATCTTCTGCCCATGATTCGGTTATGTAAGAGTTTGGTCGCTTCCACATTTTCGTGCTGGCTGAGGCGAGCCTGGTGTTTGGCGGCAAATCTTCGCATTTCCGCAGTGACTTCAGAGATCTTAAGATCCCTATGTAAGTCCTTATTCCTTACGTACCAAGGTGCATTGACCATGTTATGTAAGATTTTATTTTGGAGTGTTTGTATGATTTTGATATTGCTGTGTTTGATACAATCCCATAGTTCAATACCATATGTCCTCCTAGGCTTTATGACTTGTTTATATAATAATATTTTATTTTGTATAGCAAGGTTGGGCCACGTCCTATCAACCAGAATACTTGTTTATACCTTAAACCTATTTCTGTCCTTTTTTTCTTCACGTGTTCTTTCCATCTCAGCTTGGCATCTAAGGTCATTCCCAGATATTTAGCTGTATTGCTGTATGGTATAGTAGTTCCATCGATTGTGAGCGACGGAACATGGTCTAACCAAAGTCAACCTTTCATTTACACAAAGCAACTTAATTTATCTGGAATTCTACAATATTTATTTTTGATTTCTTGGATTATTTAAATTTTTTATTAACAAGAATTTATTGTTATTTATTTTTAATTATTTATTCATTTCTATTCTTTAGATGTTTTCTTCTGATGGATAATTTGGGAAAATAAGGGAAAAATTCACATACCAAAGAATAAATTGTGAAGGCTTCCATTTAAATGATATGTTGTATTATGTGCTAATTTATTTCTGTAATAATTAGCTGAATTAATGCTTTGTTATCAAACTCGTTAATGTGAATTATCGAGAAGAAGCGGATCAAAACAGCTCACTCATTGAAATGAAGCAACTCTTTTATGAAGATCACTGCTCACGCTCACAAAATTTATCTACCCATAATTCCATTGGTGAACTGGCGGGTTTTCCGAATTTGGTATGCCAGTGCATAAATATATGATGCAAATAAATTTTCTATTAAAAAATATAAAATAGAAATAAACACATATTTTTGTAAAACATCGAATTGTAATTTATTGCAACTAGGTATAAGTTATAAATAGCTAATGTTCAATGAGTAATGTTCAATGGTGAAGCCTGGAAATGAGATCGGGGTGCATTGAAATTTGAACGGACTGGACCTGTAGTTTAGAATCAGGAGAGCAGTGCGCTGCTGGAGCATCGAGCTGTGGGAGCAAGAGAGGTCAGTGAGGAGAGCGGTGAAAGTGGCTGGAAAGGCAAATGGGGTGATGTCACTTGTCAAGTGACTTAATGGTAGTAAAGACAAAATTCAAAATTGAGTGCAATCGCTGGAGGTTCGGTAGTGGATTGGTGGGTTTATAATAGCTACTACTCATTTTTTCAGAGCTATTATCGTTATTATTATCATAGCTCCATCTTTATTGTGTATATGCATATTTTTGTTTATTTGTATAAGTGCACTAGTAAAATATATGTAGATTTAATTTTAATGCAAATAGTTCACCAAGATAGGCTAAACCCGCAATGTTCTTAAGTCGTGCAGAACTGTTGGCCTGTAGCGTTGTTTGCGACAGAAGAGATATTTACATTATTTTGCTATATAAACCCTCAGGGTGCCGGTATTTTTGAAAAAAAGCCCATTTGTATGTCGGGTTCGAATGCAGGGCCGCTGGATTCGAACCCGGGACCTTTACCTTACAGTGATGACCGCCTTGACAACGCCTAAACGGTTGCGGGCACCAACGCCCTGTAGCGATTTTTAAGTCATATTTCAAGATTTGTTTTCTGGCCAAGCATTTTACAATATTTACACTACCCTGTGTATAGTTTAAATAGTTTAGTATAAGGGATGATGATTATGATCCTGAATATTTATTAAATCCATCACACTCAAATGCATCTGCAGGGTATCCTTTTTAGATGGCTCGGCAGAATTTCTCTTGAATCAATGACTCTATAAAAAAATATGTGTTTAATATTTTCTAGTATAGTGTCGATTTATACCTTTTTTGAAGAAACATTATACAAGGTCCTCAGTTCAACTTTAAAATTTCAAATACGACACATCCTGACACACAATTTTAAAAGATTTTTACGCTGAAAAAATGGTACACTCGGTTTTTAAATTGGTCAAAAATTGACAAGTTATGGCAAAAAGAAACCGGCAGCGGAATTTCGACGAAGAGCTGAATATGTTAATGTATGTTATGTTACTGGCATAATGAAACATTTTCGAGCGTGGGGGAATATCCTAGAATTTCATACTCTTGTCATCATCAGGTGGTTCACAGTATCACCGTTTGGTGTGGACTTTTTGGAAATAAATTAATTGGGCCTTATTTCTATGAAAATAAGTTATATGGTGCTGAGTTTCTCAATTTTTTGAAGAAAGTTTTTAGTTGAAATAAAAAAGTCAGTCCACGAATTCGGCTTGATACGCCGCTACTCTACCCTTGAGCTATCATGACTTCGATCCGCTCGGGCACTAACTTCCCATCTCAACCCCACCTTTTGAATTTTTCCTCCTTTTTGCCATTTTTCAAATATCGTGTTTCTCAACTAAAAGCTTTAATTAATTGAATGATATAAATTGGTCAAGCGGACCACGAAAAATAGTGAACATTTTGAAGAAAGTTGAACACTATTGCATGATCTTCGTCTACAACAACCACAAAAAATGATTCTACAGCTTGATAGATGCCCCGTCAAGAAGATGTCCCGAATAAAGGTCGAAATATTGGTACAAAAATAAAAAAGGTGTTTTTCTTAACTACCTCATTCTTAACCGCTCCTCACGACTTCAACTATTTATCCTCATCAATCTATTCCTTATCATCCTATCTTATTATTATCAAAATGATGTCAGGATGTATAGGGTCATATTTGAAATTTGGAAGTTGAACTGGGCTTGAGTTACCCTGTACAATGTTTTTCCAAAAAAGGTAGAAATTGGAAACTTGACTAAACTATTAGTCTATATAACTAATATATAGACTAAAATAAAATATAAAACACGTATTTTTTGTTTTTTGAGAGTGTCTTTGGTCATGAGAAATTCAGCCAGGCCATCTAGAAAGGACACCTGTATATTCCAAATATTAATTAAAGTAAGTTTGTTTAATAATGTTTTGCTCAAAGTGGACGATTAACAAAATTAAATCACTGACACGAACAAAGTTTTTTTAAATATTGAATGAATTTTATATGTGTTCCCAACGTCCCTGCTTTCCATTGAAAAGACTTGTTGACAGCGTTAGAAATAAACTGCCTGCAATTGATAAAAGAACAACTATTTTACAAAAAGAAAAAAAAAGTCCTTTTTCATAATATCTGTTGAGCATTTTATAAAGGTCAGTGATACAGTTATTACAAATCAAGGGGAGGCGGAGTTTTTCAGTTGACAGTTCGGCTGACAGTCTCCATTTAGTATTTGGTTGAAAAGGGATGTCAACACTTCATAGCCACGTCTTATTAATTTAACTTTGTCCCTTCATTGCACCCACTTGGGAATAAATATAATTCTCGCCGGTGATAACGTGTCTACAATCTTCTCATATTAAATTTTTTGGCCGTTTTGTTGCCGTTTTTTATATTAATTTATCCATTAACAATAATTATGTTTTTAATTTTTAAGCAAATCTGTTTTTTTTAAATACCAATCTAACATATAAACGGCGTACATGTGTGATTCGGGGAAAAATATTGTGATTTTTATACAAATACTCGAATATAAAGACTCATTCAATTCTTGATTATATTAACAAAATATTAATTTTAAATCAAATCATTATTTTAATTCACACCCATTTTTTTACTAATCTTGTTGAATTTTATGTTAAAGAAGGAAACTTTAAAATAAAGAATATATAAAGCATATATAACTTTTTATATAATTTTTTATTTGAGCTATTCAGTAATAAATTTGCTTTATTATGCTAATGTTAATTTTTTTAAATATTTTGTTTTATAAAACTTCTTTATTAATAAATAATAAAATTATTTTATTGTTAACATTTCTGAGAATTTTGAACAATGACTTCTTTACAACAATTATATTTTATGTAAATATCCCAACCTTTACTATGTCCCTTGTTTAAAATATCTGTTTCTACTTTAATTATCAATATATGAAAATTTATAAAACAATCTTGTTGAAATAGTGAGTTAGACCAGTTGTCGTTGTATGTAATGGTTGTAATTTAAAGATGGAGGCTTAGCTAATGCTTTATACGTGTAAACAGCTAAAACGGGGAATTGGATGATGTAAGTCTATTAGGAAAAGCTCTAAGGAAGCGTACAACTACTGTTCTAAGTTTATCAGTTCATAAAACAATTAAACCGCTATGGTAAATGTTTTTACCACTGACAGAAGAGTTTTTTTTGTGTGTTCCCGTAAGGGGATAGTAAAAAATTCAAAATTGGACCGGCGTGACCGCATTCGTCTTGGATTTAAACCGCGGAATGAATTCCGCCCTCAATTATGCCGACCTGCACCTGTTGAATCCACCCCCTGGCTTAGGAATTATTACAAGGCAAAATCTGCCCTCGACAACCCCTTCTAATCCGATTATGACAAAAAGGAGTGCACCGTTTTCAGGTGAATAATTTGAATTTTTTTTTTTAAACAGACGTCTTTCTCACCTCGCTTTTCATCGGGTCCGTGTTGATCTGGCACATGTACGTGCCTCGGTCGTCCTCTTGCACGTTGCGGATGTGGAGGTTCCAGGTAGAATGGTCCGAGTGGGACACCGACACTCGTGGATTGTGGGTTATCACGTGTTCGTGGATCGCCTGTATCGCTTTTGTGTCCGCCTTCACCCAACCCACCTGAAACATGCAAATTATTTTCTGAATCTTGCAACAAACATATAGGTGTGTAATATTTACATTACTAAAACAATGAACGCAGGTAGTTATGATAGGAGAGTACTCTACCAAAAGGTTTAAATAATAGGAATGTATTGAAATAAAATTGTTGAAAAATCTTTAAATCCTTTAGATACATAATTACATAATCATTATTCTTGTTACTAAGTTCGTTATTGATTTCCTGACTACCCTCTCAGGGTAGGTCTGCCAGATACATTTCTGTATTTCACCTGTGTTGGTTTTGTGTTAACACCATCAGGTTATATCCTTGAGACCCGTTTTCCTTAGTATTTTTTATTCTCCTAATTGGTTTATTTTTATATCCAGTTTTACCTTAGCCTCACCATTTAATACGGGGAAACCCAGCGGGATTAGACAAACCAAAATTATCGGTAACAACCAAATTACCAATTTTTCTCCTAGCCAATCACAGAGAAAAATTTTACAATTGCTTTTATTGTTAATAGTATTACTGCCAATAAATCCCCGCTGGAGCAGTTTTTTGCTGAAATATGTGGTGATTAGTGATCGTTAGTATATATAAAATATATGTATGTATATAAAATATAATATAATATAAATAAAATATACATAATATAAAATAAAAATATGATATAAATAAATATGTATAAAATGTCGAGTAGGCAGAAATCATAAACTAACAATACATAAACATAAAATAAATTTGTGTGATGATTAGTAACCGTTAGTCGATGATTATTCGGAAATCGTGAGATGCGGTCTGGTGTGACGTAGGCTTTAGACAAACATTTCTTTATCGTGCCAACGTTTCGATCTTTATTGAGATCATCTTCAGGGCCTGGGATTTACAAACATTGTTTAAATTTAACAAATACATGTAGGATGTGGAAAAAAGTGAATTTATACAATGCAAAAATATATATTTTTTTATATTCAATCAAAATATTTCTACTTGCTGAAAATTTACAAATTGTGGCTTTTCCCATCAATTTTTTTATTGTAATAAAACAATGAGTCCTTTGTAATTACAAACAACTTTTCAACATAACATCTTTGTTTTTTTATAAATCATTTCTTTTAATCTTTTGACCAGCTCTTTACATAATCATATCACCAATAAAATATTAGATCGCCGGAAGATTGTTGGCCGGAAAATCGCCACCTGGCCTTCTTCTTGGTAAAAGTTCGAATTTAGGCAGCCATAGGAATGAACCTTTTTATCCCTCAAATAACTCGGTCTTTGCTTTTTCTAACTTTTCTTTATAATAACAGTTCAGACAAACAATTTCCTGGTTCTTCTTTCCCGTGAAGTTTTACCAGTGTGACCAATATTGCATTTCCGAAAGATATTTAACGGCGTAATATTCTTTACTCTCACATATTATGTGAAAATTAAAATAAATTATTGTGTTTTTAATTTGTAAGCGTTGATATATTATCAATACCATTCTAATTGTTTAGGTGTTTCTGACCAAAAATGGCGTACAATGAGCCGGATAGAGATATTTTAGGGAATAGACAAAATATTGAAATCACCTATTGAAAACTTAAAATTGTAAGTCAAATTTATTCTTTTGCTATCAATATTAGGGCTATTAACGATTTTTAAAAAATGAGTCCACAATTTAACGTTTTACAGAAACACATTTTAACCATTGGATTTTTAACGTTTAAATTTTGTCACAGCAAAAATTATTTCTAATCTCAAAATGCATTGCTTTGTTAGTGCATAGGCATTTTTTCAATTTGTTATTAAAAAAAATTCATAATAAATTTTATTCATTAGTAGTTTAATTTTTTTCCGAGGGTATTTCAACTTCGATGTTATATGAACCCTGGGGGTGACGATGTATTTAAAAAAAGGCCATTTGTATGTCGGGTTCGAATGCAGGGCCTCTGGATTCGAACCCGGGACCTTCACCTTAGAGCGATGAGCGGCGTGGCAACGCCGAAACGTTGCGGCCCTAGTAGTTTACATTGATACTCAAAAGTATCTAGGAATTCCACCAAACATTTTAATCTGTTTTGTTCGTGACATTTGGAAGTCAATGCGTAAAAAAATCTGGACCACATCCCGTGTGAAACGTTTTTATGAAAGAATAATGCAGCATAAAACTAAATAGCAGTTTTAAAATAACGTTTACAATTCCTTTCTTCTTTAGCTTACAATTTAATTCTGTTTGCTGTCTATGTCGTGTAATGAACGTCTGGAATCTTGCTTCATTTAAATCATGTGAGACGTTTTCGGGAAAATTTGCCACAGACATAGCTTTTCCTCACGTGGGTGAGGATCGCCTTAAGCCAGAAACACACTTACCCGATGCTACGCCATGCGACGCTACCCGATGCTACCCGACGTCTTGCCACGTTTTGGTGGGGTGTGCACATCTCTCCGACGCAAGTACACGTCGCGTACAGTCCACAGCGTTTATCACAATAATCACTGTCACAATCGCAACGCATCGTTTGTTCTTAATGCACTATTTTGAGCAAAACCTTGTAATAAATTGTTAGTTAAATTTTATGATCACAACCATCTAATAAATTGTTTGTTAAACTTAATTGTTTTAAATAAAGTTACTCTTAACCGTCATAATTAAACAATGTTTATAAAAAATTATGCATTCTTTATCTCGTTTAATTTGGTTTACATTAAAATAACATGTTGTAATTAATATAACTACAAAATTACATGTACTTAGTTTGAAATAAACTACAAAAAATAATAGTGTCCTGTTCTGATGCTAACCGACATTACAAAATGATGTAATTTTACGAGGAAAACTATGAAATAAATTGTTAATTAAATTTTATGAGCAAAACCGTGTAATAAATTGTTCCAATTTTAGTATATGTACCGCCGAAGCGAGTACAATAAATTGTTAGTTAAATTCATTATATCAAAAAATCGTATTCCGGTGTTTTGATTAATTTTCTACCAAACCACTAAAATTAATTTTTTAAATAAAAAGTAATTAATTTTTAATCACAGTTAATTTGGTTTATATTAAAATAAGTATGTTGTAATTAATATATCGACAATAATACATGTAGTTTGAAGTGTCGGGTTCTTTTGTCTTCGACTGTACTCGATGCGACTCGACGAAAATCTGGGTAGTGGGGATCGCAGAGCGTCGGGTAGGTTAGCGTGGCATAGCATCGGGTAGATGTGCACGGGGGTAATGCAACCTTAAGGAAAATCGGAGTTTGGATTTGCGTTGGGTAGCATCGGGTAGCGTCGCATGGCGTAGCATCGGGTAAGTGTGTTTCTGGTTTTAATGATAGTAGTTTAAAACGATCAAAAGTACCACCCTGGTCGACCAAGATTTTGATCACATTTTTCAGGTCGATCGATGCGGAGGCTGGGTTTAGTAGTGAAAAGTTCATGCTTACCTAGGCTGCGCATAGCTCATACCATCATCACACACAGAACCTTCTTATGGGGTTGAGACCATTTAAGTGCCCATTGTATGGATAATTTATCACAGTAGAATACATAAGGGAAGGGAACGTTAAAGATGCGGCGGAGGACTTTCGATTGAACGGACAGGATTCTTTGGATGTTGGATGGCTTGACTGAGCTTCACAGCTCGAATTCTTAAGCCTACAAAGATCTAACTAGTGTCTTTTATACGTTGAGCTTGTGGTATTGGTCCATTTTGGATTTGGGTTCAAGTAGTTGACTGAGTGGTCTGTATCTTCCGTTAAGTTCTTGTGTTTTTTGTGTTTTGTGTATGTTCCAGGTAAATCTGCTGCGCAAGTATCCAAGGTAGCGGATTTGGTTAGATGGTGGGGTTAGCTTACTGTGTATGTACACTGGTGGGCAGATTCCTCTTCTAAGGCAGACCGTCACTCACCTGATTTTTTGTTAATTTAGCTTGATGCGCCACCGAGTGCACCACTCGGTAATGAGTTCTAGATAGTCTTGGGTAGCTTTTACTGCATGGATAGGGTTAGGAAGTGAGGAGAGGATTGCGATGTCGTCCGCAAAGGTCGTGGTTGAGATGTTAGGGCGTATAGCTATACCAGCAGTGTAGACTGTGTAAAGGATTATGATATCAGAAAGTTCAGATCCAATTCTCGCGTTAAACCAGCGGAATTAAGTTTAAAATAAAACGTCAATAATATTTAATGCTAATATAATTTTAAATATAACCGGCTTTTCGGTCTGATCAACTAAAGACGATTGATATTTTTAAATTGTTTATTTATTGGATATTATTGTTTATAATGACTATTGCAAATTACTAGACGTTAAAATATTTGACGGAATTGGTTTCACATTTGACTTTTTTGTTTTCAATCGTCTAAGTCATGAAACGTCCGCACTAAACGTTGTAAAGTCAGGTGAAAATACAAGTAATAATCGCTTTTTTATTGCAATACACGTTTATCACAGCGTCTCGTGGCGGGCGAGTAATAAAGTCAATAAAACAGCCCGGTAAACACAGAGGTTTTCCTGAGCCCGCAATATTTTCAGTAATACATGGGCACGACATCAAATATTCTTTCCAGTTTAGCATCAGTTAAGCCCGGCCGTGTGGAGGGGGTGTGGCATAAAGTCGCTTGAAATCCAATGGTGATTTTTTTTATTGTCGCCACACCGGGTTTTCAACGATTCGTTTGTATTTAACTGGTGATTGAAAAATTTTGGAAATCGGCCGTTTAATATTTAAACGACGTCGTTGCACGGTATTCGGAGAAAAACACACGGAGAGTGTTGAATATTTCATTATTTACCGTATAGTAAATAATAAAATTAGAATCGTACGGCGGTCCTGCAAACAATTACGTAAGGGGTTATTAAATTAAGGTTATAAAAGAAGGGTTGCTTTATTTTGGGGTCGGGTCATAACATAATAACGATGTGCTCTCTAATACACTTTCCCCTGGACCCGGCTCCAGATTTATGCATTAAACTAGAAAAATCCTCAAAGAAGCTCCAGTCCGGGATGGGGGCGGCAAAGGGGCGGCTT